GTAAACTTGGTAGTCACCACATCCATAAATTGCTCTATCTTCTCGAACTTTTGGCTACTCGTACTCACAAAGGTGTTCACTAGGTCCTCAAGCTTGGATAACTTGTCGGGTTGATGTTGTTGTTGAAACCCTAGGGCACCTTGTAATTGGTACGGTTGTTGAAAGTTTGAGCCTTGGAGTTGGGGCCTTTGTTGGATGAAGGTCGTCTGAGGTTGGAAGTTCCCCATGGGGCCTTGGAAACCCGGGGACCTCGGATTAGCCTGTGATGCCCAAGCAAAGTTGGGGTTTCCTCCATCCGAGATTATAAGTATTGCTATATGGGTTGTTGACCCTAGCATTTGCCACGAAGTTGACTTGCTCATCCGGAGTGGTTGCCTCCTTCATTGCTTGGCACTCCACCATCTCGTGGCTAGTACACGAGCACCATTCGCACGACATTACCGCCCGTTTTCCTTGCTTTTTATCTTCAAGAATAACCTCAAGCAACTTATCCAACTTTGCCTCAAGCGGAGCACTCGCTCCCACGCTTCTCACTCCCCTATCATTGCTTCTTCTTCCACTTCTAGTCAACCCCCAATCATACCCCCTAAGGGCCATATCTTCTAGAATCTCGGTTATTTGGGGCGGAGCCATATTCATCAACTTCCCCTGACACAAGGAGTCAATGAGGATCTTTTCTTCTTGCATTAAGCCTCCGTAGAAGGTTTTTATCCAAAATTGTTCTTTAAACCCATGGTGAGGGCACTGAAGAAAGTAATCGGAGTAACTCTCCCAAGCATCCCTCAAGGTCTCGTCCTCTTCTTGCTCGAAATGTGTAATCTTCTTTCTCCACTCCACCGTCTTCGAAGGCGGGCAATAACGAGCCATAAACTTGTTGAGGAGGTCGTCCCATGAGGTGATAGACCGAGGTGGGCGGTTGTATAGCCACCTAAGTGCCTTCCCCGAGAGTGAGTATGGGAAAAGCCTTAGTTGCAAAGCTTTGGCTGGCACACCATTAATTTTCAAGCTCCCCGCGAGCTCCAAGAATCTCTGCACGTGATCTCTTGGTGACTCGCTTTCATGGCAGTGGAATAGAGCATTACTTTGTATCATAGTCACTAGAGCTGGCTTGATCATGAAATTGTTTGTCGCCACTGGAGGATGTAGGATCGGCGATTGAATGTCTGCCGACCTTGGGGCCATATAGTACCCCATAGTCCTCGGGGCTCCTTCTTCTCCTGCCGCCTCATTCACGTGGCGGGCTTGAGCGCCTCCATCTTGTCTTTGGTTCCCCGCTATTTCCTCTTCAACGACGGGTTCAACTTCGACTTCTTCAACTCCTTCTCTACTAACACCGGGACTCAATTGTCGTCCCCCTCTTTCACTCCTTCTCCTTGCCTCGACTAGCTCTCTCTCCCTTGCTAGGAGTTGGAGAGTTCGGTTTATGTCTTCGTCAAGTGGTAGCAAGGGTGTAGGGTTGCTCCGGGTCATGCACCACCTACACACAATCGGAAAACACCAAGTTTAGTACAAGCAAAGAACACACACACTTGCAAAACTAGAAATTAAAAGCTAGATAAACAACCAACAACTTTTTCAGAATAACATACCGTGTTCTCCGATAATGGCGCCAAAAACTTGACTCGCACGAAACTACACCACAATAAAACCCCAATTAGAGACCAAGTTTTTAAACTCTAATCGGGTGTAGTATAGGGCAAGTATTTAGATATCGACCCGGGCCAGTCCGTCTATCCCTACTTTCGTTGTTGAAATCATTATCTAGCAACAAAACTTTGGTTTAAAGGTTTGCTAATTGAAATAAAAGAAAGCAAATGTGATTGGGTTTGAAAACTCTTTTGTGGGAAAGTCACTCGGGTGTCGCTTCCCCCTAAACGCTACCATGCTATGTGGATTGGAACTATTCCCTTGGGCACTCTGCATATGTGGTCGTAGACCACAGTCTCAATTGATAAATCGAGGTGAGGATGAAAGGTCGTGTCACTCGACCCTCTCGGTTTAGACAATCGGTAATTGACTTACTCCCTCACTCAACTCTAAGGTCGGACGATTTAATCACGATTAATCGACTTGCTTAACTCAATATTGAGGGTGCCCTAACTTAACCTAGTTTAGGTGGCTTAGAAAGCAGAAGAAAAACCAACTCGATTGAGTCTCCCTAAAAAGGGGGATTTTCCTCTCTAAACTAGGCTAAGGTGGCAAATTAGATTACTAGCACCTAAATGCACAAACTTAGGGGTGCTATGCACAATCCTTAGGTTGCTAAGCACCTAGATGCACAAACCTAAGGATGCTAAGCACAAAACATGCACAACCCCTAAGTTGCTAAGCACAAGCATGCACAATCATGGTGAATAATGCCTCAATCATTGAATTTAACAATACCCAATGACAGTCATCCGAAACACATACAAGAAAACTACATGGTAGAGTTAGGGTTTCACTACACCCAAGTGAAAGGAGGTCTACTCCATGCTAGAAGTGGGAAGAACAAAAGGGAAAAAGGTGGAAACCGTCTTTGAGGATGTTCCCTCTCTTCTTGACCCTTGAGTTGAGTGTTCCTTGGGGAAATCTTCCCAAAATCTGCATTGAATCCAAACCCCAACCTTCTTCTTCCCTTTGGTTATGTTTCTCTCACTAGAATTTTGAAGAAGGTGTTTCACACAAAAGTGGGCTCTCCCCTCTCTCCTCCTTTCATCTCATCTTTTAAAGCCGAGAAGAGCTGAGTTCACGGCCTGAGTTCACGGCCGTGAACCATCATATGCGTCCGTGAACTCAAGGCGTGCGCCAAAACGCTCCGCATTGCCCATGCTTGTTCACGGTCAACTACCTGTGTTCACGGTCTTAGTGACTGTGAACTCATCTTGCGTTAGTAACCTTCACGTTGGCTCTGGACGCCTCGCGATTGAAGATCAAATCCCCTTCTTCACAGTCTTGCATGACCATGAACTCATTTAATTAGCCGTGAACTGGCTCTTTTACACCACTTCGCCCGTTTTTCGATCCTTTTCGCCAATCTTTCGACTCTGAGGCTGGTTTCACCTATTAAATCCTGAAACACACTCAAACACGAAGAACCTAGCGTAAAACCAACCTTTAAGGAGCGAATTTGGCACAAACACCTAAGTAAAATGCGGGGCAAAACATGTGCAATTAGGCCCGAATCAAAGAGAGAATTCTTGATAGACTCCTCCAGGTTTTCGCAGATGGAGCTCTTGGATTCGGTTCACACTTGCCATAGAAAAATCAAACTATAGTCGCTATTGCACTTTTTGCACATTCTCAAATGAAAGAAGCTGAAGGGAAAGAAAGTGACCGCAACCATCCTCAATCTTTAAGACTTGGACGATAGTCATTTTCTTGTAGGTGGATGAGAAGTATGATATTGTTCCTCACAGACCGATTGATATACTGATTTGACGATATCGGCCCATGGTCTTGTAAATTTCCAAAATCACTTGTCTTCAGTAGACGATGGTCGAATCGAGATGCATAGTGCAACCTCTTCTAGGACACTCGTACATATAGCCTCAAAGTTCCAAAGTATGTTTAGTTGGGAATATCTCGTCGTTGACTCAAGAGGTTTGAATCCCAGGCCGGAAAGAGGAACGTTTGGAAGGAGGACAACCATGGATCACAATGAAAATTTGTTCCCTTGCAGGACATGATTCCCTTTACCAATCCTAAGTTCAAATGGTCTTTTGTGTTGCAAAAACCATTCCAATCCAAGATCATCTCCTTCCCTTTGATGCTGAAAATATAACATGATTGGCGTAGTGGAAATTCTTAAGTACAGGGGCGGAGCCAAGATTTCGAGACCGGAGGGCCAAAAATAATTAAACAAAATGTATGTGGCCTAGGTGGATCGAACCCGTGTGATTTAAAACAAAAGTCAAGCTTGGCTACCATTGGACCACATTATCATTACATGACAAAATTAACAAAACAAGTTGTAGTTATAAAATATGTACTGAATATCCTTAAGATCCTAGGGGCTGGGGCCCACCCTAGGCTGAATGTAGCTCCGCCCCTGCTTAAGTATATATCACAAAGCTCATAAGGTTCTCTAGCATACACCAGTTTGCTTCCTAGTAAGTTCCATCTTAAAAATATGGAAGTTCCTAGAACGGTAGAATCCAGTCCAACTTCCTCTTTTGGTTTTTTAAGATGTTTTGTGTCTCACCAATGAATTGATTTCTTTTTCATAGAGTCTGACCATAAAAATCAATGTAGAACCGAGTCCATCTTGTTCATTAAATCCAAATGAAGAAGGAAAACGCTCATGATATTGGACATGATTTCATGAATGAATGTTGTCAAAAGAATTTCTTTCCCACCTGGTGATAGTAGTAGTCTTTTCCATGATTCTTCGTTCTTTTCCATTCTTTCAAGTTAATACATGAAGGTTTCTTTTTTTTCGATTTTCCCCACTTGCAGATACTCACCAAGTACTTGTCATGAAAAAAGGAGGGAACCAAAACTTATCTATCACCTATACCCTCAGAGCTTCAGGAGTGTTATGGCTTAAGAAAACTGACGATTTAGTCACTTAACCTCTTGTCTTGTAACGTTACCATACTCTTTGAAAGATATCATGAATATGGTCATCCTACCCTCTACTAGCTTTGCAAAAGACCACAATATCGTCTGTAAATAAGTAGTGTGAAATTTTTGGGGCGGTTCTGATTAGGGGTGGGATTCGGTACGCCGGTAAACAGTTTACCGTTTTACCGAACCGTTTACCGACGGTATCGGCAGTCGAGCGGCGAATTGGGTGGGTCGGTATACCGAAACCGGTATCGGTAAATACCGACGGTAAATCGGTAATACCGATACCGAACCCAACCCTTTGTTTTAACCTAAAATAGCATTCCATACACTACACGAGGCACCACCAAAACAACTGAAGAAGAAAGGATTTGAATCACTTTACTTTCAATCCTAGAAACAAACTACAACTACCTTACCGGCCTATCCACAAAAATCAGAACAGAACTCAATCAAGGGTAGTAATACCCTTTGTAATTCTTAGTACAGTAAGGGTTAATCCCTCTCCTGGCGCAGCAACTAACTGAGTAAATGAGGACAAAGAGCAGAAGAAGACAGAGGTTGATGATAGCCAGCGTCCTCCATTCTTTCCTGACGTCTTCCAGCAGGCCGGCTTTGCAGGAGCTGCAGTCGAAGCACTTTTTGCTGGGATCGTTGCTCCATGCGGCGCAGTCCGCGTCCTTGGTCGATGACCGCGGCGGCATCACCCACATCGCCTTCTTGTCGCTCGATTTAACGAACCCGCACTCGTCTGGTGGCTTACAGCAGCTACCCTGTTCATCGATCGTCATCATTAAGATGCTTGATTAATTAATTAGTACATATATCGATTCCATTGTTAAGGAAGCAAAATTTATTACATGCGGGCTACCTAGCTAGCTTATGATTCCTACTTATTTTTACAGCCTTTCGTTCCGGAATGGTTAAATCAAACTGATGACAATATTTCCTTTGCGGTAATTCGGTAAACCGGTTTGTAACCGTTTACCGGTAATTCGGTAATCGGTAAACCGGTTACAAATCGGTATCGGTAAACGGTAAACAGTTTGGCCACCCTCGGTATACCGAAACCGGTAAATTCGGTAAACGGTTTACCGTTTACCGACCGATTCCCACCCCTAGTTCTGATTGAGTTTAATACCCTGAATGTCACCTCTGACAACTTTCTTGTCAATAAAAATAAACAAAGCATTAGACACAAGAATAAACAAGAAGGGGTAAATCGGATCACCTTGTCGAATATCTCATGTAGAGAAGAGTGGAAACATTTGGTAGGGGTACCATTCTGAAGGATTGAGAATTATCAAAATATATTTGGATATTGCAAAAAAATATATGGAACAGGAAGTTGAAAGAATGGCCTAGAGAAAAGAAGAGTAATATGAAAGAAGGACAAATTAATATAAGGGACTAGAATGACAATTTGTAGCCACAAGTTGTTATTCCTGTTTGTGATATTTTATAGGCATTGCTATTCGTCGCCCTAAAATTTCTTATTCGTCGCCCTAATTAAAATACATTTACTTTAATGACCTTAGTTGATTTATTACTTAGTTCATCTAATTAAAACGAACCCAACCCGTTGGAGACTCAATCCATGTCTCCGAAAAAAAAAACAAAAAAAAACCCATGGTACCGAGCTTCTTTTCAATCAATAATGGAGAACTGAAGATGGCATTCAAAATGACAATCTAACCATTTGCAAAAGCTCGTACGGCTCCCGTTCATGACTCTTGAATTGATTGAACTATATATATATAAAATTAATTACTCATGTTAGCAAACCATTGCTATCTGGAGAAGATGACTTAGCATTAATGGGTGGATAAGGAGTAGGGACAAAGACGGGGACGTTCGGGAAGAGATGGTCAGGGAACGGCCGAGGTGATTGGTGATGGACAAGAATTGGGTGAAGACGAGGGAGAGGGACTCAAAGCTTCGATTCCGATCGAGGGAATTCCTAATCGATTCCCAACATTTTGTCAGTAATTCAGCCAACTTGTTAGTTTCAGCCATCGGATTGCAGAATCGTGGAAGATAGAATTGGGATATTGGGATCAGGGTGTCTTTCTCTCGAGAAGATGGAAAGAATGATCGACGAAATTTCTGGATCGTTGGAGCTTCGGCGAAGTGCATGACGGGTTGGTGGATCATGGATACGGGCCAGGCGGGGGCGCCGACGCCGTAATGGGTGGATATCCAGAATTCCGTTTCAGATGGGACCCGAGAGTGGTGAAGATTGGATTTATTCAAATCAATTCGGATAATTGGATCTCAACAGGAGAGACGTCGGAACAGCCGAACAGGGGAGGCCGGCTTGCAGAGACAACGGAGCAGGCGGCGCCTTCTTCTTCATCGATTTTGAGCGGCGGCGGATTTGGATTGGGAGTGAGGAAGGGTTAGGGCATAGGAATTGTTTGGTTAGGTTTAGAATGGAAATTGGGTTAAGGGGTAAATATGTCAATTTGTTGCATTTTAGGGCGATAAAATTTGAATTTTAGGGCGACGAATAGCAATTCAGTATTTTATTCCTCTAAGTCGGTTATGTTTGCTATAAAAGGGGGAGCTTGGTTTGTGTAGGGAAGTACGAGTGAGCATATAAGAAAGAAGAGAAAGAGAGAAGAGAAAGAGAGACGTGAGGCTGAGAGTGGTGTGAGGTAGTAGTGGTGAGAATAGATTGAGTGTGGTGATAGTAGTTTAAGCTTGAGAAGAGTGCTATTGTGTGGTGAGTCCTATTGTAGTGAGTGTGAGCTTGTTTGTCAAATTACAAGCAAGTGTATAAAGTTTGTAAAGTTGTAATTTTAGTAACCACATTTTGTAAAATACTATTTCATAGCATACCCGATCCAGTAAAACTCTACAAGTGGTATCAGAGCCAAGGTTATGCTGAGTATGCTCTGTAGTTGCAGCAAGTTCGAATCTTCCACATCATAAAAGTTTTCCTTGAACTCGTGATACATTAAGGCAGAGTAGCCAGTCTAGGACCGACATACGAGTCACTTGGTTAGAAACCAAGTTTCGTGGAGGTGCCGCTAGTGTGTAGTCTGGGACTACATAGCTTATTGGTCTGGGACCAAGCTTACTTTGTTGATTAAGAAAAATCAACAAGTCACTATGGCGGATATGGCTACATCAGTGAGTAGCATCGATTTGCTTAACAACAACAACTACAATACATGGAGTGCTCGTATGGAGTTTTACCTGCGTGGACAAGATATGTGGGAGATCGTGGACGGAAGCAAAACCACACCACCTACCGAATCCGAAAGTCTCCATAAGTGGAATGTCAAAGCTGGAAGAGCATTCTACGTGCTAGCTATTGCTATAGATGATACCCTGCGGCCACGCATCAAGAAGGCTAATACACCAGCGGAGGCATGGAAGTCATTAGCTGAATTATTTGCTTGAACTAATGATGTGAAGCTGCAGATGCTCGAGAATGAGTTGTTGTCAATCTCTCAGCGAGATATAACAGTGAGTGAATACTTCACTAAGGTAAAATCCTTGTGTGAAGATATCTCGAAGTTGGATCCTGGCAATTGCATAAGCGAGACCAGGATGAAGAAAATTATAGTCCACGGATTACGTCCCGAGTTTAATGGACTCGTTACAGCAATCCGCAGATGGGCTAAAGAGCCGACATTGGAGGAGCTAGAGAATACTCTAGCAAATCAAGAAGCTTTAGACAAGCAGTTATCTAAAGATACTGCCAAAGATGAGGAAGCACTCTTTAGCAGGAAGAATGGTCTTGGGCATCAGAAGTCATCGAAAGGAGGAGGCAATGTAAGGCAAGAGAGCTGGAGAAGACCAAGATGGAGTAGGCAGCAAGGGGGAGCTCACCAAAACACACAAGCAAGAGATGAGAAGTCACACCAAAGGCGGAGCAAAGAGTGTTACGACTGTGGCAAGAAAGGTCACTTTGCTCGAGATTGTTGGCATAAGAAAAGAATGGAAGGAAATGGTGCAATATCGAGCAACCGGAGTGAAGAATTGTCAAGTGAAGATGAATGGGATATAGAGAACTCGTTTGCATTGGTTGACACGAGTGAAGAAGATTTTTTAATTACAGAGTCACAAAATATGAAGGAGGAGGCCAACAACCAAGATGGAGAAATGGAAACATCGATAGTGTCTCAATCTCGGGCGGTGAACTACAAGAAGAACTGGATCTTTGACTCGGGATGTTCCAACCACATGACGGAAGACAAGGAAAAATTAGTTTGAAGTACAGAGAACATCGAGTTGTGGTAACCGCAAACAATGCAAGGTTACCGATCACACACGTGGGCAAGACAAACAATAGCTTCTGTCTCCAATCCAGGAAAATTTTAACTAGAAGAAGTATATCACGTGCTTGGGATGATGAAGAACCTAATATCTATTACGCAACTAACAGCTCCAGGAAACTATGTTCTGTTTGGTCCTAATGACGTGAAGGTCTACAAAGAGCTAAAAGTGATAGGCACACCGTTCATGGAAGGAGTGAAGCGAGATGCAGTTTATGTGATGTCAGCAGAGTCAACCTACGTGGATCGCGCAAGGAGGAATGAGACGGCATACTTGTGGCATGCACGCCCTGGGAACGTGAGCTACCACAAGCTGAAATTGATGATGAAGAAGTCGATGTTGAAAGGCCTACCTCAACTAGAAGTGTGAGAAGATACCGTATGCTCAAGATGTCAGTATGAGAAAACACATCAATTACCTACGAGAATTCAAAATTTAGAGCCAAGGAGCCACTAGAGTTGGTACATTATGACGTGTTTGGCCAAATAAAGCAACCATCAGTAAGTGGGTTCTGGTACATAATAACTTTTATTGATGATTATTTGAGATATGTTTGGCTCGACTTTATGAAAGACAAGTCAAAGGCCTTTGATAACATTAAGCAGTTCAAAGAAAAGGTTGAAGCTGAAATTGGCCGAAGAGTTCGATGTCTTCGCGCAGATAACGAAGTCGCAAAGCAATTGAGTTGACACCTTGCGGAGATGTGCCGTACCATGTTGCATGCTAAAATATACCAGCAAAGTATTGGGCAGAATGTATGAAGGAAGTCGTGCATATAACCAACCAACTGTCGCAACCAAAGTTGGGATTCATCTCGCCGTTTGAGAAGCTCTGGAAGATCAAACCCACGATTAGTCACTTTCAAGTATTTGGATGTGTTTGTTATGTTTTTGTGCCTGGCCAGCTAAGAACCAAGCTTGACAAGAAAGCTATAAGATGCATTTTTTGGGATATGATGAACAAAGAAAAGGATGGAGATTTTGTGATCCATAGAAAGAAAAGTGTCACGTGTCAAGGAATGTGGTATTTGACAAGATGACATCATACTGGTTACCTCAGAAGGTGATGATGCCTGAATCAGAGGAACCTAGAGATCAAGTTGAAGAAAAGGCAGAAAGTGAAGCCAGAGTTGAATAAGAAGAGCAAAAAGATAAACAGGTTGCAGATGAGGCAACTGAGGAAGTTAAGGATGGTCAGAAGGAGCAAGTTGAAAAGAAGAAGTCTCCATGGAAAACTGGAGTGTACCAGAGGGTACAAGGAGAAGCACCACCGCGTGAGTTTGGAAAAGACATATCAAAATTGAGAAGGTCTAAGAGACAAAGGTGGGAGAACCCAAAGTACACTAATTTTGCAGTGGTGCAAGAATCGTATAAAGATTATAAAGGTTTACACAAACAAGTTCAAGAAGAAGCGGGATAAGGCGAATGACATGAACAAGTATTGAGTGTCACACTAGTACGAGTTTGACTAGAAGACCAAATATATTTTGAGGGGGAGTATTGAGAATTATCAAAATATATTTGGATATTGCAAAAATAAAAATCTGGAACAGGAAGTTAAAAAAATGGCCTAGAGAAAGCTAGAGAAAAGAAGAGTAATCTGAAAGAAGGACAAATTAATAAAAGGGACTAGAATGATAATTTGTAGCCACTAGTTGTTGTTCCTATTTGGGATATTTTATTCCCCTAAGTCGGTTATGCTTGCTATAGAAGGGGAAGCTTGGTTTGTGTAGGGAAGTAAGAGTGAGCTGGAAAAGAAAGAATAGAAAGAGAGACGTGAGGGTGAGGGTGAGGGTGAGGGTGGTGTGAGGTAGTAGTGGTGAGAATAGATTGAGTGTGGTGATAGTAGTGTAAGCTTGAGAAGAGTGCTACTGTGTGGTGAGTCCTATTGTAATGAGTGTGAGCTTGTTTGTCAAATTACAAGCAAGTGTATAAAGTTTGTAAATTTGTAATTTTAGTAAGGCAAAATACAAATGGATAGTCAAAACTTTGACGGTTTTGCCAAACATAGCCACTTTTGGAGAAATACTAAAGATAGCCATTTTCGTCCAATTCTTTGACGGTGTGAGTTAACGTGCTGACTGGACTAACGGAAAAGCTGACATATCAATCTTTTAGTCATAAATATGGGGTGGAATTAACTGAAATATAAAAATAAAAAATTAACGTCATTTTTATTTTGTCTCTCCCCTTCTGTTCCCCCAACCACCAATTCAAAAACTCAATTAATTAAACTTTTTTATATTTTCTCTCACCCTCCCTCTTCTTTCCCCTTCCGTTCCCCCAATCACCGTCCATTGGAGCTTTCGTTCGAAGAGGGAATTAGATGGGTTTAGCAAATTGGTAAAGAAGACAGAAGAGGTAGTTCTTAGTTCCAATTTTGAAGAAGACAAAAGAGGGAATTATCAATTAATTGCTTCTTTCTTTTTCTCGTATCAGAGGCTTTACAAAGGGGGGGATTCGGTCTCGGCCAGATTGGGAGGAGGGAAAGGGAGGCCGATTGTGGTCAGGCTTCACCGCGGTAGAGGAATATCGTAGTAGATGTGAAAAGGGAAAAGGAGGGAAATGGTGGTCGATGATGTGCGGCAGAGGGACTCCGAATCGAGACGGCGGCAACGAAGCAGATGACCCCCTCTTTGTCAGTTAGGGACTTCTGGGTTTGTGATGAATCGACTGCGACGACGAAGACAGGGACAACACGAAATAGCGGAGGCAAAGGATGTTGGGGAAGGAGGAGGCGGAAATGAGTTCCGCGATGGGTGGGGCGATGCTGATTAATCGGCGGCGACAGTTCAAAGGAGGAGGCAGAGATGGTTTCCGCGGCGAGTGTGGCGGGGCTGCTTTAATGGGCGATGGCGGTTCAAAGGAGGAGGCAAAGATGTGTTCTGAAACCCTAAATGCAATGGAGAAATGAAATAAGGAGGGAGAGATGAAGCTCGGGTGCACGATTTAGGTAGGTTTAATTTTTTTTAATGACGTGTCAATTCCACCTGTCACTGAAATCTGAGGTGGAAAAGAAAGAGATGGTGAGCTAGCAGCCATGTAAGCATTCTGTCAATTTCACTAACGGTGTCACTGACTCCGTTAAACTATGTAACGGAAATGGCTATAGTTGTCATCAAACTTTCAAAATTGTGGCTATTTCTGGTATTGCATCAAAAGTGGCTATTATTGTCACAAACGTCAAAGTTTTGGCTACACGGATGAATTTTGCCTTTTAGTAACCACATTTTGTAAAGTACTATTTCAAAGCATACCCGGTCCAGTAAAACTCTACACCAGTCTCCATTTCGACGATTCTTGACTTGATGGAGGATCCGTGAAATATGATTATATTGTCTTGAATGGGTCTAGCCCCGTGAAAGCAGGTTGCATTTTCGAGACTAAACCTGGCAGCCACTTCTTCATCTGGCTAGACATAATCTTTGAAATGACTTTGTACGTGAAGTTACATCAACTTATAGGCATAAATTTCTTAATCAAATATGGTGACAAGACCTTTGAAATGAGAGTCATATTGTTCCATCGTCGAGGCTAGATTGAAGTTTGGAAAAAATCCTAAAGTTTCATATTTGTTTATGGCCAAGCGAAAAGTAAGTAAGAATTTGTAAAAAAAAAAATTTGAGATTGTTATTGTACTTGTACAGTAGAATACATCATTTTTTTCTTTCATATATTACATTATTTGTTTTCGTGATGTGACATAAAATATCACTCAAAATTAGTGATTGTTATATCTGAATAAAAATTCACTAGCGGCATCTAACAAAGCCACAGAGGAAGCCACCTCGGCAATCCTTTACAAGTTAATCATATTCGAGACTCGAAAGGGACTTGACTCTTGAGGATTCCACTACCAGTTCAGAGACTATGGTCATCCACACCTCTGAGAGAATCCCCTACTTAAAAGGAACCTCTTGTATGTAAGTAAGACATTGATGACGGGATACAAATTTCAACTGGCACATTCGAAGAGCTTAGTGAGACCTAGGGGTGTCCATTCGGGTTCTATTTTTTTATTTTAACTGAAACCGAACCAATTAGATACATAGTCAGTTTTTTGGGTTCGAGTTTGTTTTAGGTTTTGAGTTTTTTGGTTTTGGGTTCGATTTAGCTTATTGGTTTTTTGTGTTTCGGCTGAAAACCCTCAAGGAATAGCAGTTGGTCCATATTCTTAGGGCTTCGGTATTCGATTTTGCTTTAACCAAAATCGAACCCAATAAGGAATTTTTGGGTTTCGGGTTCAGTTTTTCAATGATTTCAGGTTTTATCGGGCTTCGGTTCGGTTAACCGAGCCCAACCCGAACAGACACCCCTTTTTTATTTCCGAGTGATATCAAGATAAGACAAGAGTTATACAAATAAAACTACCCAAACATCCCCCTACAAGCCTAGAAATCTCCAACAAGCGACACTCTAGTGAAGCCACCCAAAAAAGTTGAAAGACTCTACCTCTATGAGAGACAAGCAGTGGTCTAAGCGCCACTCTATGGGCAGCACTGTTGGCGGCTCTAGGAACCACCCTAAACTCTATACAAACTAACAAAGAGTCTAAGAACTGGCGACATTCCCAGCGCACCGGACCTCCAATGGAACCTTCGAGAATACCTTGCTGAATCTGGATGACGACCACTTCGAATCACCTTCCACTATCACGTGAGTCAAGGAACTTGAGGCGACGATGGTGATAGCATCTCTTACTGCTAGGAGCTCTGCCAGGTAGGGCTTGGCTACTCCCTGGTGACGGAAACCGGCTGCCATCACCACATGCCTGTCTGGCCCACGGATACCAAGGCTAGGCGAGCACCCTAAGACACGAATAGTTGCAACAAAGTTGATTTTCAAAAAGTCGTCTGGTGGAGGCTGCCAAGAGGAGGAGGGGGATTTGGGAGGAGCGACCTGAGGGGCAGAGGAAGGGGTGACAATTGAAAACTTCAAGGTCCTGGTAGTAAAATTGATTGGCTGAGGGAACGAGTAAACTGGCAATGCTTCCCAAAGTGCGTTTGACAATTATTGCTGGTATGTGAGGAAAAGAGTAAACTGAAAGTAGGAGTGAGTATATGTAGACTTTGGCTAATTATTTGCTTTGCCTTCCTAAATACGTACGAGTCCACTCACTGCCGCTCCCTAAGCCTAATTACTGTAGCGCGTCTTGGTACTCTTCCAACGCTATACAGAGAATGGAACCAAGTACCAACCCTTTCATGTTGTTGGCCTACAGACTATATCACTCTTATACAAGCACTAAAATTTCCAAAGCGGCTTGCACCGTCGTTGATACCTGCACTCTTTAACACTTAGGCCACCAAATAGATAAACAATGAGCATTGCAGGCAGCACATGGACCAAACTCATGAAACCAGAGGCCTTCAAGGCGTAACCATAAGCCGGAATGAGCTTCAAGAAAAATCGGCTCATAACAGAACAGGTCTCATGCTTCTTCTCCTCAGATGGAAAGCAACGGTCGACCAATCTCTCTCTTAGCTGGAACTGCTGAAAACGAGAGTCTTCCCGAGCAAGAACGTAACAAGAGTGAGCTCGATGAAGAAGATTGTGTTCAAGAGTCCACGATCAACAGTCCATCCAAATATCGTTATTCCTCCCGGATTGTTCTGCAAATACAACACTGGGAGATTCCATAGGTTCCCAGATTATTATAAACAGAAACCTACCATCAGAGTGGCATAAATACACAACATAACTGTCAGATGCACAAATCAAGAGCAATGCATCCAATCGTCCAGTTGATGCAGCAAAAAGTACAGATACAGAGTTACACAGACACCATAATGACAAATTCCAGAGACATATTTTCAGCATCGACAAACAGAACTATCAGAGATTATGGAGTCTTTTGGTAACTAAGATTTCAGAAAGCATGGATTTTCATCAATGTATGTATTTTGAATATGAAATAGTAAGAAAGAGTCTTTGTCAAAATATAGTGGTCAGACAGGATGATTAATTATATATTTTCATGTGATTTAACACGAGTTCGAAATAGAAGATACATGGGTCCGGCATACATGGTTTCAACTCAGGAAAAAACAACGCATACAAAGAGAATATATGTTTCTAACGGCAGAAGAAGGATACCAAATTTCTATTAAAAACACATCAATTGCAAACACGTTTACACATTTTGCAGTCAGTATAATGCAACCAAACGTTAGTTCTTATACAATGAGATATGCAGAAACAGAAATTGAACTTACCAAAGGCTTGCCTCCTGTGGTATGAGGTCATATAGGAAGCCAATTGTGTGTTTGTAGGCACCGCAATGTAGTCAAACGACTCCAAATCACTCTCTGAGTAGCTAACTTGTAACGCATTCGTCGGATATCCAGATGGATCTGAGCTCCCATTGGCAGTAGCATTGCAAGTTGCCAAAGCATGCCACCGGCTCGCCAAGCAAGCAATAGCTTGAGCCCTGTGGGATATTCTAGTGGCAGCATGCAAGGAAAGAATTATTCCGACTACCTGAACAATTGAGGACACCTGAAAAATAGTCGGAGAAGTCATGAATGACAATGAAAATCCGGTGGCTAATCAGCAAAGTTGCTAGTACAGCAAAATTTTCACATGTACCACAAAATCAGGTGCGTTTGTGTTAGACCAATTAGCCTGTAAAAACCATAAGCCAAAACACAGTTTTCCCAACTTATAACAACCACTCTGATGTACCCCCAAAACTAAAAGCCACTTCACCAAAAACATATCATTTCCTACTTTACCATTAGGATTTAGGAATAACATTCGCTTCTTAAAGTTACATCCATAATAGTCAATCTTCCACAAAGGACTACTTACCATTCCATCAATTACTCTTTCATTACTAAAACATGTCTCGTAGCCCCATAAATATATCACTTCTTCACTCAAAACTATAAAAAAAAAATATAAGGAACTTAACGAAAAGCTAGCGCAGCAAAAGGCTTACCACAAAATCGCCACCATTAATGACGGTGATTATCCCGCTATAACCCGTAACCTGAAAGAGGGTCATGAACTGGCTAGCCGTAACCACAATGAACTGCAGAACAAGGAAGATGCGGAACCTATGGCTTATCTTAGAAAGATTATATCTTAGACGGATGTGTTCCTCAATGAATACCAGAACGTCGGATTCCCTCTCCAAGAGCTTCCCATAGTCCTCGAAGTGGATCACTTGTAAGTTGCATACCATGTGAAATATGACGCTGGCCGATAAAGATATTGTGCTCACATAACTCCACGATAAGATTAAGCCGAACAAAATGGCGGAAGAGGATAGCCATGATTCGTGTTTTACATAAGAGATACGAATCACTTCGCGAGCAACCTTCAGAATGAAACATGGCAGTGACCACAGGACGAGCAAGCGCAAAGAATCCTGCAAGAACAGACAACCAAAGAATGATAAGTGCAATTTTGTAGTACTCTTAAGATAAGCAAGTCATTAACAGCTTTTCCTCCTGTGGTAATTCAATTTCAGAATTTCTGGGAATAAATTCGAAAATTACTTTTGAAAATGATTTCTGGTTTTATGCTTTGGAAGGAGACGGGAACGAATGCCCACAGGCACTTCTACAAATTCAAAAACAAATTTTGGCTTTGTGCTGTGTAAAGGTGGATAAAACAAGCAAATGAATTGTAAACCCTTTTAAAGATTTGTCAGGACTTCGAAACTGTGTTTTTGCCTCCTAGAATTCCACTTCTAACAATTCCTGTCGATCCAAACCTAGAGATCATGAAAAGTTCAGGACAATAAAATTCCACTTGAGATTCTGGGTTTTCCAAACAGGGAGTAAGAAGTTGAAAACCAGATGTTTGACAGAAGACTCGAGTACTATTGTCCATATCTAGAAACCAATCTGTACTTGAAACAGAAAGATAACATTGTTACTATAAAAAGCTTGCATCATTGTAGACCTAAATTCTACTTGAGAATAACGAACAGCAAAAGATCGAAATTCAAAAACCATACACCAACAACCCTCACCTACAAGTTCTAACCTTTATCTGGGCAATATACTGGCGGCTAAGGCGAGTCATCTGCCCGCTATAACGGTCAACAAACAGAAACTTCTTTACACCATACTTCCTCATGTTATGAGACAGACAAATCAAAGAGACAGCAGCAAGACAAGCCTGTGAAGCCACAATATCCAGTTCGGAATTCTTGATCTGGAACTTCTCGCAGCCAGGGCAGTTGGATAGCTCAAGTATTATAACTGGCAGAGCAACCCCAACCAATCCAAAAGCTGCCCAAGAAAAAAGGAAGCTACAGACCGAAGATTGACTGAAACCCAGAAAACATAAGAAAGTTTCAAGCTTCTGTAGTGTCTGATCAAGATCATCGTCTTGAGTCGAGAGAGTTTCTCGACGATGATTGTTTTGATTGTAGTTGTTGTTGTTCTGGGTGAAATTGAGAAGAGGAGTGATGGGCTCTATCTGCAATAGTGTTTCGGGAACAGGGGGAGGAGGAGGAAGAGGAGGAAGAAGATGAGGATCAGCCATCGATTACTGTAGTAGGAGAACCCAATTGGCTTAGGAAATTATGAGATATGGGTTCAATAGAACTACGGATCTAGATGGCAAAATTTAAAGATCGAGGCTAAATCAATGGAGTTGCGTTTGACCGGAGTTTCTTGCGATAGAACCTATGCTTTGTCTTTCCCTTCTCACGGGCTCTAACAGGTTCATGAATAAAAAATAGATATTCTAAATTGCCAAAAAGGTTTATTCTTTCTCTTCCATTGAAATTTTCGGCAAACTTACCAGAAAGGCAATCACTCCATCACGTCTTTTGCCTCGCAAAGCCGCAACTCCCTACCTTTTGATTTGAGTTTCCATTAAGAAGTAAAGCTGGCTCTGTGCATTAATTCGACAATTCCTCAAATGGTGAGGAGCCAAGGGGACATGAAAAACAAGTAAAATCACTCACCTTTCTCAATTTCTTTCATATTCTTTTCACGACAACTACCCTTTCGATTACTTCTATGGTCTTCTATTTATCATTATTATAATGAACAGTCCTTGAATGTATTTTGACCCTGCACTGAGTACAGTTGTTCTCGTGACATTATTACCATTATCAGCTGAACGACAAAAGGCAACAACATAAACAAATGTCCTATCACGAATCGAGCAAATTAAACCAATAATGGCAAGTGTTTCGAATCTTTTGGCCGTCTCCATCTCCTAACTACTACCAAATGATGAATTTAAACCAATGAATTTAGAAGCAAGTACCTGAGCTGAATGTTGCCAAGAACTTCCCTTTGGTTTGTTCCTCTGCTACAGTGAATGCTTGGTAATGGTTGGTCCTGGCTTCCTGGAGTTAATGACAGTCAGTCTCAAAGACGACGATAATGTAGTTTCAGCAACGTCCCCCATTGTCGTCGGCAAAAATAATCCCTAAACTACACGTTACGACGATGAGGACAAAAGCAATTGAGACAAAAAAAAATCGGTACCGGTCTTTGTCGCGGGGGCTTTTCATCTTCTACTAGGAGTCTAGGACACTTTGTGCAATCCGCCGGCAAAAGAATCAATTACTGGCTCCATTTCCACAATGCCTTCCCAGATGTCGCGAAACCCTAACGCTCCGCCGCCAATCGATGCAATGAGCGGATTCTGTCCGGAAACCAAGATCTATCACAGTCTCAGATCTCCGGTGCCACTCCCACAAGAAACCGCGCCGCTCTCCGTCACCGATTACGTCTTCTCTCTCATCAATTCCTTCCCTTCGCCACCGACAGTCTCAGCTCTCGTCGACGGCGACACCGGCCGCCGCATCTCCTCCTCCCAACTCATTTCGCGAACCGAGTCGCTCGCTTCCTCCCTCCGCCGCGAACTCGGCCTCAGAAAGGGAGACGCCGCTTACATCCTTGCTCCCAACTCGGTCAACATACCGATCCTCTACCTCTCCCTCCTGTCCCTCGGCGTCGTCCTCTCGCCAGCCAATCCCGCGAGCTCGGAGCGCGAAATCCTCCACCAGCTCCAGCTCTCCAAACCTAGAATCGCGTTCGCGACATCCGCCGTCGCGCACAAAATTCCTCCCACCATCAAAATCGTCCTCCTCGACTCCCTCGAGTTCGAGTCGCTCGCGGCGGAAACCAGATCTGGAGAATCCGAACCAAGAACCTCCGTCTCCCAATCCGATCCCGCGGCAATTTTGTACTCCTCCGGAACCACCGGAGCTACCAAAGGAGTGATTCTCACTCACCGTAACTTCACCTATACGGTGGCCCTAGGTCACGCCGTTCGGACGGCGAGGAAAACGCCGGCGGTGGTCCTGGCGACGGTGCCGTTCTTTCACGTGTACGGGTTCGTGTTCGCCGTGCGAGCTGTTGCATTGGGGGAGACACTCGTGTCGATGGAGAGAGTCGAGATGAGGAAAATGCTAAAGGCGATTGAGGACCATCGGATTACCCACGTGGCCGCAGCGCCACCGCTCGTTGTCGCGATGGTCAAAGCAGACCGGAAGGTAGTGGACGGCTACGATTTGAGCTCCCTGGAAGTTGTAGCGTGCGGTGGCGCCCCACTCGGGAGAGATGTTGCCGCGCAGTTGACCGCGCGATTCCCAGGGGTGTCGCTCGTCCAGGTAAAGGCGCGCAGTGTCGTTATATGTACATCAAATTACTCTTTTAATCCTTGAAAACTTTTGGTAATGCCTCTTTGATCTTTGTACTTTAGATTTTGCGTTAAAATGATCTTTTATTTTCATTAACATTTTTATTGCAAGTATGAGAGCCTGCATCATATAAGAAAAAAAATGATAAAGAGAGAATGGTGATGAAAATGGACGGTGTTGATGAAACCACGCAGGCTTACGGGTTGACAGAATCGACGGGGAGGGTGTTCTCAACAGTGGGGCCCACGGAAAGCAAGGTGGGAGGTGCAACAGGGAAGCTGACTCCCGAAACGGAAGCGAAAATCGTTGATCCTGAAACTGGAATCCCTCTGCCACCAGGAAAAGCTGGAGAGATTTGGGTTAGAGGGCCATCCATTATGAAGGGTAATTGCTTAATCGATGTGATATTTTAGTGGCCAGATTCGGGTTCTTGGTGAACTTCTAATTCAGCTCATTAGTTAATACTCTGAACAAGCTTCAAATCCTTACGTCACTAGGATTCCTGTTAAACTGCAGGTTATGTAGGTGATGAAGAAGCCACAGCCAGAACTTTGGATGCTGAAGGGTGGTTGAAAACAGGAGACCTTTGCTACATTGACGACGAAGGTTTCCTATTTGTGGTGGACAGGATCAAGGAACTGATCAAATGCAGAGGCTATCAGGTTTGGTATCACATCATATTAATTAATTAGCATCTTTCAGAATCATTTAAGGTCGAAAGTGGGTCTCATTCGATCAACCAAAACCTAAACTCGGTCTACGTGTGTAAAACCGAAACTTTACGAAAACTGGATGGTCAGTTAGTCGGTACCTTTTCTGGCGAACTACATACCGTGTTATTTTTTGTATGGATTTGATTGGATCAGGTTGCGCCATCTGAGCTCGAGCATTTGCTTGTGTCCCATCCAGATATACTCGAGGCAGCTGTGGTCCCGTGAGTTCACATTTGAGTTTGTAAAGAAGTTAACCATGTAATGTAAATGAATAGAGAGTGAAGAGGTTCTGGTGGTGAAATTTTTTGGCAGGTTGCCTGACGAGAGAGCAGGCCAAGTTCCCATTGCATTTGTGGTAAGGCAGAATGGAAGCACCATTAGTGAGCTGCAGGTCAAGGAGTATATTGCAAAGCAGGTACCTTCCATTCTTCGTGTTAAAAGAGCTCTGGTACCATCTTATGATTTCAAAGGGGGGAAAGCAGCGATTACATTTGATGATGAACAGTAAGGACTAAGGAGTCAATAATTTGGAATCTTTTCAACAGTGATCAAGTTATCTTCTTCGTGTTTCTTTTCTTGTAGGTTGCACCATACAAAAGACTACATAGAGTACTATTCACTGAATCCTTGCCAAAGAATGCTCAGGGCAAGTTGTTGAGGAAAGACTTGACAAGACTAGCAATGTCGCCCGCCAAGCTATAAAATAATCATCCTCCTGTTTGCTAGACTGTTTAGTGGAATTCAAAAATGTTACTGCTTCATCTATAGATTATTGGAAGTGATCCCTGTGTTTAAGAGATTGTGAAATATTTGCTCATTGAAATGAATCCCAAAAATTTCGACATGCTAAAGTTTATGAAATTCATCAAAATGAAGGTACTGAATCTCTACCCTTGTAAAATATAGAAAAAGTTGCAGAAAGACATGGGTTTTTTTACTGAATCAATGAAATCTCTAAATTCATCCTCCAAATCTCATTCTCCAAACAATCCCTCAAGTCAAGTCCATTGGTATTTCTATTATCGATCTCAATAGATTGTGCAGCTCAATTCCACAATTGCGATTTTTTGTTTCATGCATCAACCTTCCATTTTTAAATCACTTGGAAATGCAACCCTTTTTGGATTTTACATCCATCCACAGAACCAGAAGATCAACAGACCTCTCTCATACTCTATATAATCACCATTCAGACCTTTCCTCACTTTTCTCAAACTCTTCTCCGAGCAATAACAATCCGAGCCCCACACGGATTCCTAACAATTCAAAGCCAAAAACCTCATTAAATGGAAATGCTATTAGGGATCCCACGACCTGTAACACCTGGTCCTGAACTTGGAAGCAATAGCTCATAAGGAGGCACACCAGCTCCACTTCTATTCTTCATCCTCGCATCCTTGTTCCTCAAATTTATAATCTTTTCAATCTCCTCCATTCGATCAGCAAACCCTTTGTACAGTTTCTCCACTTCCTCGTTACCAACCCAATGGCTGACAGAGGCCCTCGCCGCCTGGCCCAAATACTCCTCATCCTCCGAGTGAGTCGACAGTGTATCCTGCACCGCCATCACTTTAGTGGCCTGGAGCTTAGTTGGCAAAGAAGACAAGAAAAACCTTTGAGGGTTGACCAAGAACTTCTCGTAGTCAGGCTGATCATCCTGAGGCATCAATCTCCGCAGCACGGTAGGGCGGTTTGGGACGTACCCTCCGAAAGGGTACTGCCCGAAGTTGATGGCTGCATGCTGCCCTGATGCGGTCCAGATGATCGTGGTTAGTATCGAGGATAAGTCGTGAGTTGTGTCGAGTTTAGGCCACCATGACTCCTTTTTTTTGTCGGCATGGCCTTCGTTTCTGATCTCGTCCCACCACGATTGGAGCTCGAAATCTGATTTGACTGAGTTGGGTTCGGGGTAGAAGTGGTTCACATAGGGTTCTACTAGGTCCTGGATGGCTGACCAGATCAAGAGCCCGTCTGAGGCGTAGGGGTAGTCTTCGATCACTAGTCTCACTCCACTCGGCGTAGAAGGATCTTCCACTGCCATGCCCCTGAAAAGTGTAGGAGGATTTTCTGCATCATAACTTTCTGATACCGTACAAGGATACACATGGTACTAGATTGAAGCTCACCTTCGAAGGAGATCAGCAGGCAATGCTTCCATATCGAACCGCCACATTGCCTTGTAGGCTGCAGAGCTAACCTCCATTGCATGCTTGCCAGGGCTGAATGAAGCCTCGATGATTCCTCCACCGTTGATCAAGCTTTGACGAGCAAGGGCATTGATCTCTAATGTGTAACGCAAATGGGGATCGAGCAGCTTGTAGATCGGATGCATGGCGCTGAGCTGCCTGTTGGTCGCAATTATGTAAGGCTCCATGCAGGCATGGGTCCTCAACCTTAAAATAAAATTTTCCAAAGAAACAAGCAGAGTCCATCAGTCCAAAGGAAACTTCGATTTGAGGTGGTGAACTCCTATGTAAAGGAAGCCCTCTTATCACTTCAGTTACAGATATGAAAATTCTAGGATTCGAGTGGTAGAATGTACTGTGCATGGAATGTTTGATATAACATGATTTCGTTCAGCTGTAATTATAGAGAAGTGATTAGTAAAGCTGGAATGTTAATCGAATCACTTTCTTACCAATGGCTCACTAGCTGATGAACGCCAGAATCATTAGTGCAAACATGAGCCTTGGCCAGCTTCCACAACCAGTGACTAGTAGCGTCATGGCCACGAGTGTAAACCCTTTTGCTTCCACCTGAGGAAGAAGTTGGAGGAAGAGAAAGCTCAATGGCTAATGGCCTCAGAACGCCAGTGTTGGTGTGGTAGAAAACTGTTCTAGTTGCGTAACTTTTGGTCCCAGGCAAAGAGTTTATCTTCTCCACAAATGGCAGAAGCATGTCATGGTAATCCAGAATGAAGAGCCTTTTCTCCTCCATGGCCTGTTGTATCAAATATGGAATCAGGGGTATCTCTCATGTTTCTATTGATTGAACGAGAAAGTCGGTTGTTTAGGTGTGTTCCCAATGAAGGGGAATATACATACCTGTTCTAAGCTCATTTCATGGAGATCTTCTTCAAGTACTTCCTTTGTTAGAGAGGACTCTGGAGGGCCATAAATTTCAGGGTCGAGCTTGCTCGCGATAGGGAATTCCTGCAGCAAATAAAGGTTACAGTGCGGCGAATTCAATATATCATACCGTTGGAACTTGAAATTGACGTAAATCTTACCCTTAAAAGCTCAATGATGACTGGATTAACCCCGGCCAATGTTTGGCGGGCAAATTCGATGTCTCGCAGCCATGAAAACCTATCCACTGAAGACCCCAAACAACCATCAAATCCCAGAGAACTCATAAAATCAATCAAGCAGTAGAATATAAACAAATCAAACTGAAAAACAGAATTCTCATGTTTTCAGACTTACTTTTGATACCAGCAGGGGTATCATACTTCATCATCTTATGTCCAGCGTTCCAAATCTGATTCATGAACTTGGCCAGGAACCCAGTTGTTCCTTTCGGTCCAGGTCGGATCAGGAACCCATCGTTGAAGAGCATGTCGATGTCGGAGAAGCAGATGAAGGGGATATCGCAATCGGACAACGAGGCAGATATCGAAGGGATCAAGTTGTGAAGGACGGCCTTCAGCCTGCCAGCTGCGAAAGCCGCTTGTTTTGTTTCCTCAAATGCTTCGTCTCGCGGCACGAAGACCGGATGCGGCTTCTCGATTCTGCTCTCTGAGAGTTCATCTGAAAGAAGGGAAGAAAAAACAGAGCTCCAGACGCAATTATCAAACTGAAGGCGAAAGGAGGGAACTTTTTATCAGGAAGAGGGAATTTACCTGTTTTGGTTGGAGGCCGGCCAGTTCTGCAGCGCCTTGGATAAGGGAATTCATGGCTGCCGCCAATAACAGGCCTTACGAGATCTTGGTCGGAGTCAGGATTACCCAAGTCATTGTAAACGTCATAGTCGAAGATCCTGTCGTGCATCTTCCTCTCGCCCTTTCCATTCCCGCGGACGCTGAGCAAGTCCTCCCGCCTCAAGTCTTTGATTCCAGGTGGGGTTTGCGCGGGAAGATACGCCTGTAGAGAAATTAAAAGCGATAAGACAAAATATACCTCTTTGTGACCAAAACTCTGCAGGTTGAAAATTATCAAGATTGGAATAGAAACTGAGAGCGTAGTCTAGGTGACTCACCTGGTTCCTAAAGATGATTCTGCTTTCAGGATTGTCGTGCCTGGAATGGATCCAAGTGTTTGCAGGGAAGAAATAAGGGCCTCCTCCATTGAAACCGTGAACCACAATCTCCTGCAAGAAGAATTCACTTCCATGGAGATTGGTGATGAAAACAGCTCCTGGAGTTCCGAAGTCTTGGGGGACTTTGAACTCTGCTGCGTATTCCACTCTGTAACTGTAAGGGTCAACTGATGATTTGGGCAGCCAGCCTCTTACCCTAGATTCTGCATACTTTCCTGAGTTGGTCGCTGCCAGAAGATAAATTAAGAAAACAACAGAAATTTCACTTCTGAGATATTGCAACCAAGCAAAAAAGGGGATAGAAAACTAATAATTACCAGGGTCAATTTCCTCGCTAATGAGTTGAATGGAGATCCCATGACCAAGACCATTGAGGAAATGCTCCAGTTGATTTCCAATCCTCTCAAATACGTTCTCTTTCATCTTCTTCCTTACGGTAACTACTGCCTTTACAGAAACTTGCCTATTTCCATGATCATCAGTAGAAGCAAGAGGAGGAGCTCCTTTGACCAGCAAAGTAGTAGAAGAAAAAGAACCACTGTCTTCTGCGCGGCTAATCGCTGCCCGGATGAACGATCCGCCAGCGCCAGGGTACCTGGCCTGTGACCCGGGAACCACTAGGGTCATCCGACGAATCACAGTACTATCTCCAGCAGCCCGGCCACCTACCACCGGCGGCAGGAGATTGGATGCTGACATTGGGGATTTTAGTGCCTTCTGCTCAAGATTAGGGAGTAGTTTTGATCCCTGTGTTGAGAAAGATAAGTTTGAGGCTGAAACTGAAAGCTGTGAAACTTTTCTCTTATAGTACTTGAGTAGACGTGTTACTGAGGCACTACTGGGTATTAAGAATTATATTAAAGTGGACTCAGAGGTACATTCATAAAGAAGTGAACTCGAAGAACACGTTGAATTTTATAGTGTTTAATCCAACTGCAGTCCTCGATTTGAAATAACATTGTAAGACTGAAGTTACCTTGGACTATAGAAATGATAAAAGTGTAAAATTATCAAACCTCAAGCAAAGTTGTATTTTCTCCACTTGCTCCTTTTTAACCGGTGCTTATAAATGTTCTATGTATCTGGGTCTTGAATCTAATCAAGGGTTATTATTAAAAATATGGTAAAGGGCGGTTTAACTTAAGGGGCATGTCCTATATTTAGGTTAGGTGTATTCATCGGTAGTTCAATATAGCTGAGACTCTCTCCTAAGAAGGGCAGGAGGTCTTATATATATATAAGCAGAATGGAAAAGGGAACATGATTTCAGTGACCCAAGCCTTATTGATAATCACAGTGAAAAAGGAGCATGATCTTAATGACCCCATGGTACCAAATTAAAGGAGATGTTGTCCTAAGAAGGGGAGTAGGCCTTGTTTATAAACACAGTGGAAAAGGAGCATGATCTCAAATCAATGACCCCATGGTACCAAATGAAGGGAATGTTGTCCTACGAGGGGTAGGAGCTTTTCTATAAGTAGAAGTGAAAAAGGAACATGATCTTAAATTCTTAATTACCCCATGGTACCAAATAAAAAGTTCTATGTGCTAAAGTTGCATGATCCTGCAATCATGCAACTTTATTTCGGCTCATGAATATTTAATATATCTACTAGTATGCATCACATGTCTCAAAATCATAAAACTAATGGAAATGAATAAAGAAATACAGCCATGTGGCATGATTATGTAATGTACCTACCTTGCCCGTTCCTTCTGGCTTCTGGTCTGCGCTATTTTATATATAACTGCAAGACATTTGTTGAATAGAGTATAGCAAATTCGATAAATCAACTACGCATCTTAACTGTCTTATCATCACAACAAACCTTGATTTCCCATGGTATGATGAGCTCGTGCAGAACGAGAAATATTATAAGGAAGGAAGACATTTTCATTAAGAATACGAGAAATGATCAACATAAGCTTCATTATTTCTTTTGGATGAATCATAACTGAGTTCAATGGTATTTTAGTCCCTCTACTTTGCTGCTTGAACAGAAGCCTACTATAATATTATGTTTGATCAACATATCATTGTACTGTCATTTAACGATTAGAAATTTCATCTAAAGAAGTTACAGCTTAAATCAACTCATGTTTTGTAAGCGCATCTGAATGACATGCATACCATATATGTTAAACATGCATATTTTCCCCTCAGTTAACTTTTAATTAATGAGGCCCGAGATTAATTAATGAGGCCAAATTGAGGGATGTAAGACAGATATTCGATATATATGTGGCATGCGCCATCAAGGAGAGTTAATCCCATCAGCAACAAATTTGGATGAAATGTTCAACTTAGGGACAAGTAACAAATAGATTAAGTAATGCATAGATTTACTCACTAAAATTCAGAGTACATGGACGTAACACGTATTTGTTAAAACCGCATAGTAAATGGACTAAATATCACACTAACTCAAGAGTAGAGTAACAAAATTGATATTACTGACACTCGGCATAATAAACGTATACAAGGAAATGCATAATGTACTTTGTTGATTATCTACGTTGCACATGCCATTCATTATCTTCTACTAAATAATGGAGCTATTGGCCATGAAGGGAAAGAGCATTAAACAATTGGAATGAAATTTTACTGCTACCACTTGGCATAATTCTAGGCGATGGATTCTGGAACACAGTTGGCGCGGGAGACTTTTCACTAATAAAAGCCCATCCCTCTAACGTGGAATCGGAGTTCAGAAATCTTACTTGCTACCCTAAGAAGAAACAACGCCAAAGCATCCTGCGCTGTCCAGTGACCAACTTAATTTCATATCTTGGAAAGATATTTCCGAGATTCAATGAGAATCAAAGTCAACTGCAGAATACTGGCATGGTAGAGAAGCCTGTCATCTCTGTAATGCAATGGGTAATTTTGAGGACATGGGTGGGTCAGTGTCAAAAACGACTAGTAAGATGTACCTTTAAAAAAAAAAAGATGCATTCTGTGACAGTGGAACGTTAATGGTTGTAGAGCAAGGAAGAGGTGAGGTTCAGCTTCTAATGAATTTGGTGGAGTTTCCTGCAATCTATAAAGAGACTTTTGACGACATTGACCAAGGCTACTTGTTTCACATCAGGAAGCACGTTCGTAAATGTTTGATTGCTGCAGACAAATCTCAGCTGCATAAAACTGAGCAGACGGGTAGAAAGAAACCAACTTACCTTATTGAGCATGGAGCTTTCACCTTATTGCCAAAAGAACAGTGGAGTTTTCACTTCCTGCCTCACCAAATGCTCCAAACACAGGCCTTGAAATCGTCTGCAGGAGAATCATTGAATGAAAGAAGGAAAAGATAAAAGGAGAAAGCAACCCAGAAGATAGAAGCATCACTAGCATAACCAAATGCTCGACATGTGAAAAGCCAAGTATTAAAGCATCACATTTGAACACCAACAACCAGTGGTTGGAACCCATTTGCTTGAATTCAATGGAGGCGAGAGGAAGTGACTGGCCATCTAAGGAAACTGAACAAAACAGTTAAATCGAGCCAAAGCAATAAGAAAAACAGTGAGGAGGAAACAAGCAAAGTGAAGCAATCAAGTAAGCATGCAGGGCCTGAACGAAAGGTTGAAACCCAAATATCTTATGCAACAGAAACCACTTTTATCAAACTAATTACTTTTAGGTTTGCACCATACAAGAAACTACACCGAGTAATTTCATTGGATGCTTAACAAGGAGCAGCATGGCAAAAGGCTGAGCAAAGCCTAGTACAGTGTCATGTGAGAACGAAATGTGAGGAACCCTCTAGCTACTTCAGTTCTATCACGGAGCTTTCGAGCTTTATTTAAAACACCCCAACTGGAAATACTAACATTATTTGGTTGAACATCTTGGTAAAGGAATCATACTGCCACAACAATGACATAAAAAGTACAGGAAAGACAGAAACCGGCTTCAAACGAATCATAACTCCTCAAGCAGAAATGCTTTTAGTGATTCCACGATCTATCACCCCTGACTCTTAAGTTGGAAGTAGTACGCTCATATGAAGGAACCGGCACCACTTCTGTTTTTAAGTTGAATGTCCATGTTTCTGAGGTTTATCATCTTCACTATCTCTTAAGCTGATCAGTAAACTTTGTTTACAGTTTCTGCATATCTTCATCATTAATCCAGTGACTGCCATAGGATTATAGCTGACCCAAATACTCCTCATCTGGGGAATGAGATGACAAGCTCTCTTGCATTGCCATCCTTCACATGCTTGAAACATGGTAAGCAAAGATAACAGGAAAAACCCCTGCGGATTCGGTCTGACCTTCTCATAATCAAAGTCATCTTCTTGAGGAATCAATCTTCTCATGAAAGAAGGACGATTAAGGACCCACCACCCAAAGGTATTGCCCAAAGTTAGTAGCTGAGTGCTGCTCCGATGCAGTGCAGATCATAGTAGTAAGTATGACAGGCAAGTCCTCTTTTCTGTTGTGTTTAGGCGACCAACACTCATTTCTTTTAACCGCATGACCAGTGGGGTATAGCATCCCACCAATTTTGCAGCTCAAAATCAGATTTGGCAGAATGGACCCGTTGTTTGATAGCTGACCAGATAAAGGGCCCATCTGATGCATAAGGGTTGTCTTCCATTGCATGTCTCATGCCACATGGCATAGAAGGATCTTCCACGGCCATGCCCCTGATAAATTTTGATCAACAATGACAACAACCCTCATTTTTCTACAGTTTCTCTCTGATACACAGGCAAAGAAGACCCACATCAAACCGCCACGTAGCCTAGTAGGCTGCAAAGCTCAACTGTAAGGCATATAAACCAGGGTGTAGCCCCGAGTATTCCTCCTTCACTGATCAAGTATCGTCGTGCAAAGGCATTGACTGCTAGCGTGAAAACCCATACGGGAATGTTGCAATTGTAGATGGGATACAGTATGTTGTCTGTGCATCGCAATTATGTAAAGGCTCCATGCAGGCATGAGTCCTCGGACAGTAGAAATTTTCTAGAATCCAGCACAGCAGAAATTTTATAGTTTACCAAATAACACTTCAATCTATTGTCAAGCCCTCGAGCCCGGAGAAGCTCGCAAAAGGTAGCATCCCCAGCGGCCAGGAAATCGTATATCGCTGGGATCACATCGTGGAGAACAGCTCCCAGCTGCGACGCATCTTGACCTCCCCGAAAGCTTTGTCCCGACGCACAGATTCTGCTCACGCAGGCCGCAGCCTTCGTCTGAACATGAAGGGGGGAAATTCAAACAGAGAACCCTAATTATAAATTCATTGAGTGGAACACACAACTGGGAGAAATGTAAAGGAACTTGGAGGTCGACCAGGTCTGCAGCGCCTTGGAAAATGGACTTCATGGCTGCCGCCGTCCGCCGATAATCGTTGTAAAGAGCGTAGTCGTAGATTCTCAATTTTGACTTTTGAGGCTCGCCGTCGGGAAATTTGACCGCCAGTGCAATTGAAGTAATATATATAAAATACTTTTTTCATTATATTTTTAGTCCCAATACTATATTGTGTCAACATTCAACAACAAGTCATCATACTATAAAATTGTAACATAAATTATTGATTTTTTTAACATAGTATCATCATGTCTCTTATCCAATTCTAATTCATATGTTAAAAGAAAATTTTCACTTGCAAATGGTACAATATATTAACTTTATATGATTGCTAGCCCACAAGTCGAGCCTCTACGAGGACTGCGGTAATAATTCTTGTCTATGATCTACTTATGTTGAGATAACCAGTAGCCACATGTATTACGTAGATTTTCAATGCCAAAAATGAAAACGAATAAGGTTGAGTTATTTGAGAGATAATAAGATGAAAATGTGAATTTGGTTGAGACAAATGAGATAGTTTTTGTCATTAATGGAATATGACCTATTGAGATTTGCAAACATAGGTATGGACAAATACGAAGATATCACCATTATGATTTTATTAATCATTAGGAACTTAGGTCCTTGCTTAATTTCACAAATTAAAAGGGGGAAAAAGTAGATGTAATATGTTGATATTATCACAACTTCTAGCCACAAAGCGTCACTCACAAGTCACAGTTCATTGGCGAAAGAAAAACATCCAAACAATACGTTTTCACAACTCATTGCACCAAACCTAATAGTTCGTTTCGAAAACTATCTTTTCTTAGTAATCTAAACATTTCAACAATCAACTAGCCAAATGATCCTTACAAGTCCTCTAGATAAACACGCATTCGTTAAACTAGATAGCACATTGAATCAAAAGCATTATTACCCCCTTAAGGAAATGGCATAATCAACGACTAAAAGCTGCAAACAGCACAGTTGTTCATCAAGGGGACCAACTGTGTGAGGTTTTCATGTAACAGTGTTTCATCTATGTTCAGTCCAGACGAGAACACGATGAATGATGTAACCTTCCTATCTCAATCATATACCTAGAAGAGGAAGTAATTCCGTGAAAGAGGAACGGTGGCGGCAGCAGAGCAAGTCAGAGCCTCGCCGTCAGCCGTGACGCAGTACGTCTCAGGATCCACCGTGATCTCTGGGAGGGAATCGTTGAGTTTCATGTCAAGTTTGGTGAGCTTCCTGACGTTTCCCACAGCTTCAACTCTTTTGTTCAGACCATATGAAGCTTTGATCCCGTTGTCCAAAGCTGCCTTGCTCACGAAGGCAAAGGAGTTTTCGCTACCTGCCTTGCCAAATGCCCCAAACATAGGCCTTGAGATCACCTGCATTGATGGTTCCCAAAGAAAATGTTTTGTGAAGAGTTATGGGAGACATCATTGTTTGAATTTCAGTGATTTTGGTTAAAACGTCGAAGGCCTGCAAGGCTGCAACTAACAATGACCCTGCCAGGTTAATTGGTGGACATAAAACATAGATGTTGTCATCAACCTTTATACCATTTTTAACCAAGAAGTCGGTGTTTAGGATCTTAGGACCTGCAGTGATCCGATCCATCATGACTTGCCATCATGAATGACATGGTTGTTATTAACTGACGCAACCCATTTGTCACCACTACTTAAAGGTTTAATGTAGATGTTCTCATCCATTTTTAACTATTAAATCAATCCTTTAGGATCCTAGATAAGAAATCGGTTGAAATTTCTAACCGGTTCGGGTGTTGGGATGCTCGCATTTGGATCACCCATGTTAGCCCATGCAATCACACCACCTTTGATCACCATCTCTGCTTTCGCTCCGAAGAATGCAGGTTGCCATAACACGAGATCGGCCCATTTTCCAACCTACAGAGACAAATGTACGTTGGTGATGCTCTTGATTCTCGAGAGGAAAGTTTACACGACTCAAAAGAGTTTAAAAAAAATGGCATTATTACCTCAACTGAACCGATGAATTCTGCAACTCCATTTGCTATTGCTGGATTTATGGTATACTTGGCAACATATCGCTTGATTCTCAAGTTATCGTTGTCTGATCCAGCAGGATCAATCATTCCCCTCTGTGATTTCATCTTGTGGGCAGTTTGCCAAGTTCTGCTTATGACCTGGTGGAGAAAAGAATTCAGCAAAGCGTAACATTAGCACAGAAATCTGTGAGCCAAAATAAGTAAAGGATGAATAAACCAGTTTCTCAAAGTGAAGTCCGATTGTAAGGGGAAAATACGACCACATGGTAATTATCCTATATTCTTCATAATAAGTTATGATGCTTTCCTATTTAGGAAAAAACTAACATATATTCATCGTTTACGCTATCAAGAACATATATATAAAGCTAAAATATGTCTTCTCAATGGACTAAACAGTCATCTATCCATCCATCTCTTATTCAGTTCTGAAACTTTTTTATACTTGTTGTTGATGTAGCTGGTTGCAGAGGAACTTTCAAAACTTACAATTGCAACTTGTAAAATCAGAACTAATTGCAACTTGTAAGGCAGTATTTACAATAGACCTCTTTCAACTTGTAGTTCGAACTGAGAGTTGCAATATGTAACTCCAATCTCAGTTGTAACTCAATGACAAGAATAAGTATTGACTGTTGTAACTGAGTTGCAAACTGAAATATGTCCAAATTCAGTTGTAAAGCAAAGATAAGAATAAGTTGTGATTTTTATCGGGCAAGATTTGTTCAAGTCAAGAACTCACTACCTACTATTACCTATGTTCCTCTTTCTAAACTTACAATTGCAGCTGGAAATGTTAGAACTAGTTACACCAAGTAAATCTCCATGCAATCACGAGAACTGACAGCCTAGTATCGCCTATAACTATAAGTTTCCTCCAATTTATTTTTCCAAGTGGCACTCCATCAGTATCCATGTGGCTCTGCCACTGTCACTGACAGCAATGATGTTAGGAAGAAAGGAAGAGCATACCTCTCCAATGCGACCCATGGCCTGTGAATCGGAAGATATAATGCTAATCGCCCCCATATCATGCAATATGTCTTCTGCAGCAATTGTCTCAGCCCTTATCCTCGATTCAGCAAAAGCCACATCTTCGGGTATGTCTTTATCAAGATGATGGCAAACCATCTACATAAAAGAAACAGAACCAACATTTTTTCACATTGGAACATCTATAGAAGCATTATGTGCTAATTATATATTTCGATCATTGGCTTACCAACATGTCAAGATGCTCATCGATTGTATTGAACGTGAAAGGTCTTGTGGGATTTGTTGATGATGGCAGGACATTTTTAACACCACAAACCTTGATGATGTCTGGAGCATGGCCACCACCTGCTCCTTCACTGTCAAAAAGTTATACCCAATTACTTGTCAAAACGTCCTTGCAGTTACTTGGCCATCGAGCCATGGGACTCGACTTGAGTTGAAAGCTACCTGTGATAAGTATGGATGGTTCTTCCTTTAAATGCAGCAATAGTGTGTTCCACAAAACCAGATTCGTTCAGGGTATCAGTATGAATATTGACCTGCCATAAAAGTGAAAGGATTCAGGCTTCAAAGTTCAGCGAAGAATATGTTGCTAGCTCTTCATACTTCAGAGGACCTACCTGAATATCATAATCCTCAGCTACTGCCAAACAATTGTCTATTGCAGCTGGTGTAGTTCCCCAGTCTTCATGCAGCTTCAGACCCATTGCCCCTGCTTTAATTATTTCGTGCAGCTCTTCAGGTTTGGCCGCATTTCCCTGAAAAGGATGAGAGGGCGGAAAGGTCATTCCTGATTCATTAGCTATCTCTTCCATTATTACCTGCACCTAACTACTAGAGGTTCACGATAACTAGACTCACCATCCAACATTCGTATTTCTTAGCCACAATGTATAAGAAAGCTTTGTGTACAAAATAAATAGAGCATTACCTTCCCAGTGAAGCCAAAATTTAGAGGTAGGTCATCAGTAGATTGCAGCATAAGCTTCATATGTGATAAAGAAGGAGTACACGTAGTGGCACGTGTCCCGTCAGCAGGTCCAGTTCCTCCTCCAATGAGTGTTGTAATCCCTACGTGTATTGGAGGTCAGAAAGAAAATCCAAATTCCTGGAATTATTTGTTTTCTGGTAAAACGAGTTCCCAGTTTGGAAGTTTCTTCCTTTGATTAGTGATTACCACTTGATATAGCCTCATGTGCCAACTGGGGACATATGAAGTGGACATGACAATCTATAGCTCCTGCAGTTATGATCATCCCTTCTCCAGCAATAACCTCTGTGTTAACCTGATCAACATTCACATTTTGGACAATCAAACACCATTATTAACATATTTAGTGTGTTTCTTTCAGCTAGAAAATGAGTGAACCTAAAATGTGATATAAACACATCTCTTCAATCTAACTTTTTAGATCAACTATTCGTCGAAACCCCCAGAAATTGTTCAAAGCTACCTTTTCCTCTTTGGGATAAGAATATAGTCATAACCTTGACTCATACAAGTCATTTCCCATAACTCAAGTCGTTAGTAAACAGACTATCCATCACTCCAACATTGACAGTTCACTGCTAAAAGATACATCGTACTACATCAACTCTGTTGTTTCTAAAACTTAGCAAACACCTTTTTCTTCAATTCTGCCAAACCTAAAACTTAAAAGTCAGTAACCTAATTTTAGTAAACATGGAAAGAACACACTCCGGTAATTTTCGTATAAATTACCAGGCAACAGAAGTTTACTTACACCGATGATCATATCTATGTTAACATCATCCATGATGTCTGGGTTTCCTGCTTTGCCGATGGCAGCAATACGACCCCCTCTAATACCGATATCTGCCTTGTAAATTCCACTGTAGTCGATGATAACAGCATTTGTTATGACAGTATCAAGAGAATCCTCAGGCAGATGACCAGCAGATTGTCCCATTCCATCCCTTATGACCTTCCCGCCTCCAAACACACATTCATCGCCATAAACAGCAAAATCTT